ATTTTTTTTATGCTTTATAGACGGTTCGCATAAATCTTTATTAAGCCCTGCTTCATTCTCGTTAATTGACGTTTCACGTAGATCTTTATAAAGTCCTGCTTCTTCCTCCATAATTAAATGGGCGATTGAAATTTTAAGTATGATATAATATAAGAATTTTTTAAGTATGATACGGTATGAAGGCTTGTTAAATTTTTTTTAAGTATGATAGGGTCTAAAAGACTTTAAGTACTTGTTTCGTAGGATCTATCCCCATTCAGTAATGACTAACTTTGGTAATTACTTTTCAAGAATGTTTGTTTTGCGCATTCATTCTTGAAAGGCAACAAATCTAAATTGTGACCGCTTAAATTTAATCACTATAGAACGCGTATCATTAAATTTTCTATACCCGATCCATGCATCACAACAAACTAAATTCTTATATACAAGCTATACATAATTAACGATTTTTGCGTAGTAATTTAAACTTTCGACAAGATTAATATGGCTGATCTTTTATCGCGATCTACGTCATTTGGAAATTTCTATTTTTGGATTTTACCATAAATTTGATGTTGGGCTGAGAGTATCGTAAGCATTCCCAGTAATTTTAAATCAACATTAACGCTAATCTATTATTTTAAAGATAAACAAGTAAAAAAACTATAGAATAATTGAAAATATGTAGTCAAATCACCGAACGTGAGAAAACGATTAATTAAGAAATTCAATCGTTGATCAGTCGCAAATTCAGTCACAACGCCATCCAAAGGTTGATAATACAAAAATAAATAGATCGTACTATCCGACTTTAGACGACTCTCTTTAATTCATAAATTAAGCAAGAAAATCCCAAATTCGGGAGGGTTACTTGCTTGCCGTTTGGATTGTATTAATGAACGCAAATCAAATATTTATCTATTGTAGAAGTTAATGAACGCAAGTCAAATATTTATCTATCATACAATCATCTTTCATAGAAAGTTATAGATTCTTTAGTATAATTTGTGATTGTAATTTCTAACCCGGAATTTGGTGAGATACTCTAAATGAGACTGTTCAAAATCGATTTAACGTGCTAAAAGGGTTTGAAAAGTTCGGTCATTTAGGATCGTTTCGTATTGAAACTATTCGAAATACTTAAAAGTCATTTTACAATAAAATTTTTAATGTACCATTATCTTTGCGAGAACCTGCAGGAAAAAAAACCGCCACAAGTAACATAATTCGTAATACCATAATAGGAATTACTTAATTGAATACGTAAGTCTTGTGCGATAAAATTGTTATTGCCTAAATAATAAATTTTCCGATTCTAGCGTGCGGATATGCAGTAATCGATTTTATTTCACGATAAATTACCGCGTTCGTTAATGCCACATGACATTTTAAAAGCTTAATGTAACCAAATCCTGAAATTACCTTTTGGGGCATAGCTTGAACATTATTAAAACTAGTATTTTTCATAAAAAAAAAAAAAAAAATTTCAAACAAAATTCAGACAAGTTTTGTAGAACATTTACTGTATCACACAATATAAATATTCGTACAAAAAAAAAAAAGTCTTTTAATATATATATATATTCAAAATTCTAAAGAAAAAAATATATCTCAAACTGCCTGATTAATTATATATTTTAAAATACTACAGATCTATAGAATTCGAAATAATGGACATTTAATAACAATTTCGAATTCTGCAGATCTGTATAATTCGAAAATCTGCATGTTAGTCGTATAGTTTTAAAATTAAGATTTAAAATAACCGCGATGAGAGATGTATAAATCGTGGGAAACCCACTGTCTAGAAGCATGCATGCGTACATACGTACGTACGTACGTACGTGAGTACACTCTTTCCAAACAAAATTTCTTATCCAGGATGTGAGATTTTACCGTATGAGATTTCACTGTTGGTAACACAAAACTTTAACTAAGAAATTACCATTTACAATATATAATACGTCATAACCAAACCTTAATTCTAACGTTGTGATATTCATGTGTTATTGCTGTATAGGAACGGAATTTAAGTGGATTTGTAATTTCTTAGGATTTGTAGGGTTAGGGCAGTGTTGTACACAGACATTGTCCCGCCAATTTTATAAGGACACGGACAATGTCCCACTAATTTTTAACTTTGTCCCTACTATATCCGGGACATGTCCGCCGGGTAAAACCGAATCTTTGGTTTGGTTATGTGTAAAAAATGATAATTCACAGAGGATGCTAAAGAATTTTATTGGCTGATAATCATGTGCTGATCGACAGAAATATCCGGGACAAAAAAATTTTCCCGGACATGTCCGCTGTCCGTGTCCCATGACAACACTGGGTTAGGGTGTAGGTTTATATAAAATAAAGAGACAATCTATTTGACGCCTGGGCAAATTTACCCGGATTTACTTATTTGTGAAATTTGACCAGCGTTAGGGTTAGGGTTAGGTTTGGGAAAGGAGGGATATATTAGTAAAATTTGGCCAGGAACTTTTTTAATTAGAACGTAAAAGGTGATATTGACCTGATCTTCCTGATCTATTCTCTTGCGATCTACACAGAAAAATTTCCTTTTTGAGTTTCAGGCAAATTTGCCCAGGCATCAAATAGCAAACTCTAAAATAAATTCTACCCTAAAATTACCTAAAATTACCTAAAATTGTAATTTATTAAGAAATTCCAAATCCACTTAAATTCCATTCCTACTTACAACACCTGTAGCCGAACTATTATAAAAAATCATATCCTTCATGTACAGTACTTAAATACTCGAATTATTATTTAATCACATTTGTGAGTATGTGCTAATAAGATCAAAAATTGACCAAGTAACACATGATACGTAATTATCTTAGCCATTAGTTATTCGTGAATTATTTTTAATATAAGTTTAAACTCACTATCAAACTTTTTTCCTTTTTTTTTTGATTCCACTTTGAGGTGAAATTTTTTTTTTTTTTTTTTGAAAATCCAATTACTACTTTTACACTCTAGTTATCGTTATAAACAATGTAATAGATAATCAATTCAGGTAACAATCACAATAACAAATTTAAGTGGTTCACGGTGAACTAGTTCGAACCAACATTGTAATTTGAAATATATATGTTTTCGCACAGACTAAACACATTATAGCATTAAACATGTTGGGCAAGTATTAAACGAAAATTTAGTAACATTGAACATGCCAACATTTATAATGTTAAAATTATCGTAGAAAAGTATCATATATAATGTATAGTCTTTTATATATAGGGATATAGGGATATAGGGATATACGGATATATAGAGTGTAAATTTCTGATATGTAATTTTTTGTTATGTAAATAACGTTGTCCAAAACTTTTAAGAGCTGGCACACAAATGCTAGCAACATTTTTGTAATGCAGATCAATAATCATGTGCCACTGCATTAATTAATTGAATCTATTATGTCGAAATAATAACTTAACCGGAACGGCCGAAAAATCATTCGGCAGATTTTGTTTCAGAAATTATGAAAACAGCTGTAATAGCTGTAGTGGCTTTTTGAAGGTTGTGGGCTTTTTTATAAAGCCCGGTCCAGCCCGCTGTAATTACGGGCCTAAAAATGTCGGGCCGGGCTCCGGGTAGCCCGCCCCGATTCTGGACCTTTGATTCGATCCTACAATATAAGATGTTAGATATAGTGGACAATAAATAACAATAAAAACTTAGAAAAATACTTACAATGGAAGCATAACTCGATTCAAATATTTTTTATTTTTATTAACTCCTTGTTATCTTTCTCTTTTGCAACGCCTAGCTCTTCCGTAATACAAATCCAATCAGATATATTTTTTATTGATCCACTTTCTGTTGTTTCCTATAAAATAATAAAATCAATTAAATGCTATAAATGACAAATGCAAATTATAGTATATACAATAATATAGTAATTACTTTAAAATAATCTTCAATGACATTACACCAATCTTCAGGTAATTCACTTTCCTTTTTGGCTTTTTTGATCGTAATCTTATATAATCATCAACCGACAAAAATTTTGAAAATCCACTTTCTCCTCGAATATCCATTACATCATCATTTGTGCATCTATATATTAAGATAATGTTAGTTATAAATTATAAAATATGCCCTAAGCAGTTCAATTACTTGCGAATATGGATTATTTTTTTGCAATTCCTTGTATCTTATAAAATGTGGAATAAAATCCGCAAAGTACTATATTTATATGTAAATATCGAGTATTTGTTACATGCATTAAAAATTAGCAACCTTCAAATAAATACCTTGGATTCATCTAATTCCGCTAAACTTTTAGCAGACATTCTTAATATATTTTCATTTATTGACGTTTCTTGGTCGTATGTGTTGCTTACAATTTGATGAGGTGGAGTTCGAAATCCATCTGTATAATAAATAATATTTCAAAGAACAATTTAGATAATACTTGAGAATAAGATAAAAATGGTGTTTTTACCGTCTTTTATAGCGGATAACAGTTCTTCCTGAATGGATTTGTATTAGATTCAGATACAACAAAACTATTCAAGTCATTCTCGCCAGTTGTTCCAGGTACAATAAAAGGATTATTAGGAACTTTCTGGAAATAAGTTTGTAAAATTAAAACAAATATATAATCAATGGATTTAATCCACAATACTAACCTTTTCCACGTCCAGTTGTGACTTTTTCTGATCTTCCATTAATTTATTCCCGAAGTGCTCGTTCTCATTTGAATACATAATGTAGGTTTTTTCGCGACGACTTTCTGAGATTTGAATCTGACATATATCGCATGTTAAATCACAGTGAGGTTGATCAAGAACAACTAGCACATAGGTTTTGTAACCTACCATATGCAATTTTTCGAAGATACTATACCAATCTGCTTTGTCATTAGTCACCTATATTTTCATAATTTTAAAATTTGTTATAGTATGTTTATTGAGGCAGAAGACGAAATGCACGATGATGGGATGAGGATGCGCAGTGTTGGGAGTGTAAAACCGCAGTCAGTAAACCCAACTGAAGCCCCCAGCAACACTCCGATGTTGGGAATGTAAAACCACAGCCAGTAAGCCCAACTGAAGCTCCCCAACGTCGGAAAAAAACATCGCCAATGTTGTGGAATGTAACAACCGCAGTCAGTAAGCCCAACTGAAGCTCCCACAACGTTGGCGATGTTTTTATTGTACCTAACCATCCTCAATCAGGATGATAACCTGACGCGATACTTTCCTCAGTATTCAATATTCTTGCAGTTAAATCGAAACGCTTTGCCCATGCACCCTCCAGTCCCTGAAGGTCGCTCGTTTTTGTAGATGATCTCACTATGAAGTCAGCGTTCAGACGAACGAATTCCGAAAAAGACGGGATAACGTTGCACTCTGATGCCGACTCGATATACGACTTAATTGCTAAAAATTGGGCATTGCACTGGTGAGTAAATATAGATGGTCACGTCTGTTTCAGAAAGCATATACTTGCAACTGAAACCGAATGGTTTTTCTTCTTGTTCGCTCATATCATAAAGAGGCTAAGAAATATTTAATATCACGGATTATCGGATCATCGTGAAATTAATATGTATGTGGTCTGGAGCATATCATATGATGATCAGCTTGCATGTTTTTGTTACACTAAATTACAAATTTGAACACGCGTGCTAGGGTACGGGACGGGTCGGGTCGGGTTTAGATAAACCCGACCTCAAAACAACGGGTGAGACCGTCCCAAATTAGGAAATAACTATCTGAGTCACCCGATTATTAACGATTTTTTTTTT